TTGCAGTATTTACCACAGTGTCTTTTTGTTTTTATGTGTGTAAAATACATTTAACTGGTGTCCTGATCCCAAACATATTATTGTCAGTTTCACCAAGTATGTACACATTTGTATGTATATTTTATGTACAGCATATGAATAATTTTGTATTTTGTCTGAACAGTAATTGTGTCAAAGGTATTTTAACATAGTGACATGGGTAGCTAGCAGACTAAACATCAGCTATCTATGGAAGCATGACTGTGATGCAAGTAAGGAGTTATTCATCCACTAGTGATAGTTTGTTGCCTCCACTCATAAGGCTATACCACTTGTGTATTGACTTTATTTGTAACTGGGGTCCTCTGACAGTCTTTTTAAAAATTAAGTCATTGAGAGTAGATTTTATTGTTCATTATTTATGTTTTAACACTTACATCAAAGCAAATCATATACGTAAATTAAAACTATAAGTGTTACAGCTCACTCAGGAAGGGAATATGTTTATCCTTCAACCTTAACTAAAACACTAAACTGCTTTCTTTCCTCAACAGAAGTATGAGGTATGCCAACTCATACCACGATAATTTAAGATCTTAGATTTGTCACTTTTTTTTTTTTACGTGTCATTACCCCTTAAACTGTCCAAACGTAGATCTGTGTTGACGTGCGTAGTGCTCCGAACGTAGCTCTACATCTGATTTTACATGCTTTCAAATGGAGAAAATCTAAGGTCGGAGGGCTATGCACATCAACGTAGATCAACGTTTGGAGAGTTTAAGGGTTAAGAAGCTGGACTGAAATTAGCATAATTGCCTGATTTATACAGTACAGTGGACCCCCGGCATACGATGGCATCGGTATACGTTAAATCCGATATACAATACACTTTAGCACAAAAATTTTGCCTCGCCACTCGTTAAAAAAACCCGCCACACGCGATTCGTCCGGGACGCGTCCACGTGTGGCCTGAACTGCCCCGTGCATGCCACTATTTACAAGCCAGCCAGTGTGCTCACATCTAAGCATACATTCGGTACATTCCATATTATCACAGTGTTTTTGGTGCTTGTTTCTGCAAAATAAGTCACCATGGGCCCCAAGAAAGCTTCTAGTGCCAACCCTGTGGTAAAAAGGGTGAGAATTAGTATGGAAATTAAGAAAGATTTTGAAGGGTTTGGGGCTAACCCTGAGAAGCCTATGCCAGTTGTGGAATCCATTGTGCCTACTTCAAAAAATAAGGAAATGTGTGCAAAGTGGGTTGAACTGCAAACCTTTATGGATGAAAATCACCTTAACACAGCTATTGCAAGCCGTGCTGGTGACTATTACACTGACAATGTTGTGGCCCATTTTAGACAAATCTTAAAGGAATGGGAGGTACAGACCTCTATGGACAGATTTGTCGTGCGACAGAGGTCCAGTGACTCTCAAGCTGGTCCTAGTGGCATTAAAAGAAGGGAAGTAACCCCGGAAAAGGACTTGCTACCTCAAGTCCTAATGGAAGGGGATTCCCCTTCTAAACATTAACAACTTCGACACTCTCCCCTCCTCCCATCCCATCAATCATCACCAGATCTTCATTAAAGGTAAGTGTCATGTATTCTATTGTTAGTAGAGTACTACTAACTGTGCATGTCTTCAGTTTGTGTGCATTAACCCTTTGACTGTTTTCGACGTATAAATACGTCTTACGAGCCAATGTTTCTGACGTATATATACTCAATAATTCTAGCGGCTTCAAATCAAGCGGGAGAAAGCTGGTAGTCCCACATGTGAGAGAATGGGTCTGTGTGGTCAGTGTGCACCACATAAAAAAAATCCTGCAGCACACATTGCGTAATGAGAAAAAAAAAACTTTGATCGTTTTTTTTTTGGAATAAAACGCCGACTTTGAGGTGTATTTTCGTATAGTATTTATCGTTGTATTCGCGTTTTCATGGTCTTAGGTGATAAAATGGAAAACATATTACAGAAATAGAGATGATTTTCATTACTTTGATGATGAAAACGACCTTGAAACTGAGCTCAAATTAGCGGAAATGTTCGATTTTTACCAATGTTCAAGAGTAAATAAATCACACCACACGTCCAATACACGTCAACTGGGGAGTCTGATATTCTTTCACTAGTGCACTGATATTATTTATATCATTTTTACAATAATGCAGTAGTCTGCATAACAGTAAATTTTTTATTTTTTTGTATGAATAAAAAATCAAAATAGAAAGCAATAATAATATAAGAGGGGCTTAGAGATGTGACTAATGAACAGAGCATATGTTATTTTAGTGCCACGAATGTCTACCTTGTTTATTCTGGACCCTATTTTGAAATTGGCATCTTTTTTAGTTTGCGTGAAATTGGCCAAATTGCCAATTTCTGACCTCCATATTGGGTAGTTCAAATTAGTAAATGGGAGGTTTCTTGTACTCACCTGATAGATAAAATGGAGTTCTAAAGAAATAGCTATGAGTTTGGTCAACTGGAACAATGGAATTGGCTGAAAATAGGGCTCAAAGTCGGCAAAATCGCCGATACGCATATGTCGCCGAGACCGCTAACTTCGTGGGAGCATAATTCCATGAGTTTTCGACCAAATTTCGAACTTTTGGTGTCATTACCATCGGGAAAAGATTCTCTATCATTTCATAAGAAAAAATAATTTTTTTTTTTTTTTTTTTTTTTTTTTTTTTTTTTTTTTTTTTTTTTTTTTTTTTTTTTTTTTTTTTTTTTTTCAAAAATTGAGCGACATAGAATGACAGTTTCAGAGAGGGCCCTGAAACAGTCAAAGGGTTGAACTTAATATTTCATGTCGCAAAACTTTTTTTTTCATAGTACTTTTGGGTGTCTTGCAGATTGATTTGATTTTCATTATTTCTTATGGGGAAAATTAATTCGCCTTCCGATAATTTTGGCATACGATGAGCTGTCAGGAACGGATTAATATCGTATACCGGGGGTCCGCTGTATATACTTACTAAAGCTTTTTTGTTATTTTAATATTGGTGGTGTACTGCATACTTCATCTTTGATGAGCTGGGATAACATGTGTCTTCAGCTCTGACCTATAGCTAGTCAGTCAGTCTTGTGTGGCCTTCAAAATATTTTTCATCTTGAGATTATATGGTCCAATATAGTAGTTTACCCTTTTTCATACAATATCGTTGGTCGTTCATTTAAACTGCGAGAGCTCCATTTTTAGCTTATTACAGTAAAGGCCTGATAAAATGGACTAATAAGGAAGAGGGAGTGTCAGATTTACTGAAAATTCCATTATATTGAAAGTTTCAATTAAAAGGATGTAGTCCACTTAATCATTCGACTACCAAGCATGGACAAACGTACAATAAAGCATACTTAGTCTGTTGTATTTTTGGACTGCTGGACATGTTTAGCATAAACTGAAGTACAATACAGTATTACTAAAAAATGAACCTGAAAAGAAAATGGGTTAAAAGTACAATATAGTACAACACAATAGAGTACAGTAAGTTTTCTTACATTTTCTGGTGGATAGATGGACTTATAGATGTGCAGTAGAATGCAGTATTCCTATGGGGTTTAGTGGTAACCCAGAATAACTTACTGAATCAGTGAAGCTGTAAAACTCTAGCAATAACATTGCAGATGGTGTGAGAGACAGGTAGATGGAGTGGGAGATGTAGATGGTTTAGCAGATGTAGATGGAGTGGGAGATGTAGATGGTTTAGCAGATGTAGATGGAGTGGGAGATGTAGATGGTTTAGCAGATGTAGATGGAGTGGGAGATGTAGATGGTTTAGCAGATGTAGATGGAGTGGGAGATGTAGATGGTTTAGCAGATGTAGATGGAGTGGGAGATGTAGATGGTTTAGCAGATGTAGATGGAGTGGGAGATGTAGATGACTGAGCAGATAGATGGTAGATGGTTTGGGAGACATAGAAAAAGGAACAGATTTAAAGAACGACTCCAGGTTTGTTTGTTTGACATACTGAGGCTGCTTCCTTAAAATAGTTACACTATACTCACACACCCAGGCCACTGAAATGTCAGCTTCCTTAATAATTCAAGTTTCCTCTTAACAGTTAAGGTTACATTCCTCTTGGTTCCATTTTTAGTATTACTGTACATGACACCTTAATAAAATTATTAAAAACAAAATAAATCCAGGGGAAAATTGAAGATGAAATTGTGTGAGCATGTGTGTAGACAATAACACCATGACAAACGCAGTCACTAGCCCTGCTGCCCAAGAACAGTAATAATGGACATGTCCAGGACAAACCTCAGACTGTACAAACCTGTGATTGAGTCAGTGCAATTTATTGAATGCACAAATGAACTGGTTAGTTTTTCAATATAGTAAGATTTGGTCCACTTTGTGGCTATTTTAATCAGACACTCCATTAAACATACATGTTGATCCTTTGTCTGGCCAGATTTTATGGGGTCTGTTTTATCTGACCTTTACTCTATTAATATTTGTTTACACCATTATATGACACATCTTTTCATTTGTGTCAGTGTTTGCTCTTGTTTTAATTGTGTGCATGTGGTGTTTATTTTCTCTGATATCTTGTCATTAATCTAACCACAGAAACTATCATGCTGTAGTTATTAATTAATCATGAAAACATAAAATTAACATTTATGAATGTTAAGGCTGAACTTAATGCATATTATGTTGCTTCCATGCTTCATTTGATTATATTACATATTATTTTTGTTTATTATTATTATTTTGTTGCTTCTAATTCTTTATGGGGTCATTCACAAATTCAGTTTGTTATTTAAATATTAAATTATTGTTTTGAAAAAGGAGGCAGAATAATTATCCAGTAAGTTTGTATGCCCTTGAATTAAGTGCCATTACTATAGTACAGCATTGACTTTTAAAAACTCAGTTCTCTGCATTTCAGGTGTAAATATATGTACATACAAATAAGGTTTAACAAAATATACTTTTTATATGATTTTATTGTGCTGGGACAGTGTGGTTACAATTACTAACTATTTTTTAAACAATTCAATCTGACAGATCAGCGAATGGATGGGATTTGAATCTGTGTTAGGCGAGTTCCATCATTTGTTTGCAATTGTGTTATTACAATTTTGTGAGTTAATTCAACCTGACAGTAGAAAACTCGGCTTATTGCTACCAACTTAGTACAGGTGCCTTTATGATTGTAATGTTATTTAAAATGTCCTGTGTAAACTTAAAAAGTATTTTTTTATTAATGAAAGCAAGAATAAATGCATATGTATTATGTAAATATTTTATATTAAATAGGATGTAGATAAATTACAGTATGAAATATGCATTCTACTTATGTATTGTGTATAATGAAGCCATTGTCCATTTAGTAAGCTGCCATTAAATACAGGTACTATTTTATATGTACTGTACCAGCACATTAGGTCTGTTAAGATCAAGTTTAACACTGCATTAGTAGCAATTTATTAAGTCTAACAGTACAAGGTGTATGGTGCTTCTCATACAGATAACCTCTAGAAAATACTCAGTTATTTACTGGTAGTATTATTGAACCTTTTGATTATTCTTTTATGATTATAAATAAGTAATTATAAATAAGTAAATAAGTAAAGGGTGTGATAAAAGAGAAAAAGTTAGCTTATGAGAGGTTTTTACAAAGCAGAAGTGTTATAAGAAGAGTAGAGTATATGGAGAGTAAAAGAAAGGTAAAGAGAGTGGTGATAGAGTGGGAGAGGCACTGTCAAGAAATTTTAATGAAAATAAGAAAATATTTTGGAGTTAAACAAGTTAAGAAAGTCTAGAGAACAAATGGATTTGTCAGTTAAAAACAGTAGGGGAGTTAGTAGATGGGGAGATGGAGGTTTTCGGTAGATGGCAAGAATATTTTAAGGAACTTTTAAATGTTGACGAAGAAAGGGAAGTGGTAATTTCATGCACTGGCCAGGGAGATATACCATCTTTTAGAAGTGAAGAAGAACAGGATGTGAGTGTTGGGGAGGTGCATGAGGCATTACGTAGAATGAAAGGGGGTAAAACAGCTGGAACTGACGGGATCATGACAGAAATGTTAAAAGCAGGGGGGATATAGTGTTGGAGTGGTTGGTACTTTTGTTTAATAAATGTATGAAAGAGGGGAAGGTACCTAGGGATTGGCAGAGAGCATGTATAGTCCCTTTATATAAAGAGAAGGGGGACAAAAGAGATTGTAAAAATTATAGAGGAATAAGTTTACTGAGTATACTAGGAAAAGTGTATGGTAGGGTTATAATTGAAAGAATTAGAGGTAAGACAGAATGTAGGACTGCAGATGAGCAAGGAGGTTTCAGAGTGGGTAGGGGATGTGTAGATCAAGTGTTTACGTTGAAGCATATATGTGAACAGTATTTAGATAAAGGTAGGGAAGTTTTTATTGCATTTATGGATTTAGAAAAGGCATATGATAGAGTGGATAGGGAGCAATGTGGCAGATGTTGCAAGTACATGGAATAGGTGGTAAGTTACTAAATGCTGTAAAGAGTTTTTATGAGGATAATGAGGCTCAGGTTAGGGTGTGTAGAAGAGAGGGAGACTACTTCCCGGTAAAAGTAGGTCTTAGACAGGGATGTGTAATGTCACCATGGTTGTTTAATATATTTATAGTTGGGGTTGTAAAAGAAGTAAATGCTAGGGTGTTCAGGAGAGGGTGGGATTAAATTATGGGAATTAAATACAAAATGGGAATTGACACAGTTGCTCTTTGCTGATGATACTGTGCTTATGGGAGATTCTAAAGAAAAATTGCAAAGGTTAGTGGATGAGTTTGGGAGTGTGTGTAAAGGTAGAAAGTTGAAAGTGAACATAGAAAAGAGTAAGGTGATGAGGGTATCAAATGATTTAGATAAAGAAAAATTGGATATCAAATTGGGGAGGAGGAGTATGGAAGAAGTGAATGTTTTCAGATATGTACTTGGGAGTTGACGTGTCGGTGGATGGATTTATGAAGGATGAGGTTAATCATAGAATTGATGAGGGAAAAAAGGTGAGTGGTGCGTTGAGGTTTATGTGGAGACAAAAAACGTTATCTTTGGAGGCATAGAAGGGAATGTATGAAAGTATAGTAGTACCAACACTCTTATATGGGTGTGAAGCTTGGGTTGTGAATGCAGCAGCGAGGAGGCGGTTGGAGGCAGTGGAGATGTCCTGTCTAAGGGCAGTGTAGAAATTAGGAGGTGTGGAGTTAATAAAAGTATTAGTCAAAGGGCTGAAGAGGTTGTTGAGGTGTTTGGTCATTTAGAGAGAATGGATCAAAGAAATGACATGGAGAGCGTAATAATCTGTAGGGGAAGGAAGGCGGGGTAGGGGGCGTCCTCGAAAAGGTTGAAGGAAAGG